ATAAGTATTACTCCCTTTCTGGTGCCAGTTATACCAAATATTACTCCCTTTCTCATTCTAGTTATACCAAGTGTTATTCTCCGAGTTTGAAGTTACATACCATTGATACATTTTCCTCTTTGTCCTCTCCGGAACCTTCTTCCTCCTCTGAAACTCGTTCTTCTTCACCTTCGGATCCTTCATCGTCCGAAATCCTTTCTTCTTCACCTTCGGTTTTCTCTTCTTGGGAAACCCTATTTTCTTCATTTTCTTCTTCATTCGCTGGATTCGAGGGTGCGGAAGGAACCCGTAAAGGATTTCCATCAACTCCAACTGATGGATTCTTTGTACGCGGCGGCATAGTTTCTAGGATCGGGAAAATAAAATTCAAACCCAATTCTACGACATTGAAAAGATTTAACAGATTCGAACTAAACCCTTACCTCCTAGTTCGCAGTTGGTGCCTGAAAGAGACTAGAAAATTGGATCTCTTTGTGAAATCTTCGCAGTTAGTTATCCCTAGTTGTCCTGATTTCTGAGTCAATTTGAGTTCAATTTTCTCGTTAGGGAGGGAGTTGACGAGTTGAAGACGAAGAGTCCGGTCGTGGGTGATTTTATCCGCTTTATGCGGAATGGATAAACTTTCGGGTCGGATTTTAACTAGTTGGGTCGTAAATAAGTTGAGTTTTGTTTAGTTATTTTATCTTTTCATACCATTTCGACAGAAAAAGAAAAGAAAAAAAGAAATTATTTTCTTCGCAGGTCATTTGTAAATTCGAAACAAAAGAAAGGGTTATGGGAAATTTTGATCCGGTGGTTTGGTTCTCGGGTTGGATACTTTTCTCCTTTTATCGGGTGGGCTATTTTATTATTTGTGGTGTCTCTTGGTGTGATGAGGTCGGTTTCTTATGGTCAAGTGCATATTCACTCCTTAGCATCTCTCTACATTTATGATTCGATCAAGTGTAAGGTGTTTAATAAAAAGTTTTTGTTGATATAGATGCATTTGGTAGATTGCTCTATGTAAACATTTTAGGTTTTCTTGTCGGATTATCAAACTTTGGAATTATGATTTTGCGAGCTAGTCTTTGCTTCATTATATGACATTTCTTCCATCGATCGGTTTTCCATGAAAAGAATCTTTGGTATATCTCTATCAAAGGTTCTCCAATAGGTTAGATGATATGTAATAATGAAAGGTTGTTATTTATGTCAAAAATTTTTGCGTTAAAATTGTTTTTTGCTCTGCTATTTATCGCGGATTTGACTAGCAATGAGTTGGTAGTCGTTGTAAAGGTTAATCTACATGACGCCATGGTCCCCAACAATCTTGCTTTGTATTATGCCTCATTGTTTGCTACTCAAAATCTGCAACACACTGCTCGATGCGCAATATCCCCATCAGAGGATATGAGCATTATTCTGAGGCTGACACCGCATATTGTTGGCATAATCAACTAATAGCTCCTGTTGATTACGTTGGAGTAGTCTAATTTTTCATTTGATTTTTGTTATGAGTTATTTTTAGCAATTTAAAAACAAAAATTTCATTCCACATTTTTACTCGGGCAAGAATTTTTCCGCTACACCTACGATGACATTTAAAATTTGATACGTGATATTACATACAATAATAAACCAAAAAAAGAAGCGGAAGTATAAATTTTCCCCCAACATATCAAAGTGTTAATCATTCCAAAAATGTTATGAAAAATATAAAGCATAAGTTAAAAATGGCATTGTATAGCTTCATTGTCTTCTTTCTCCTGTCCTTGAAAAGTCTTTTTGCATAACCTAACAACGCGGGCTATCCTCCATTCCCTTCTTAGCATACCAACTTTCAAACCCATAACATGTATTGACTTCGCTTAATTCATGGACAGTGTTGGATCCAACAAGTAGGCATTGACCTTCGCGTATAGGTTCTCCGTTTTTTCAAAATCGTCCACACATTCTTCGAATATCGCAATTCGGTATACTTGGCATTCCAAGATAGGGTTCGTCCATCCTGCCTCCACTAGACACATTCGAAGCTTCTATAGGAGACTGAAAGCTTGGAAACAACGTGGAGTATCATGAGTAAATTCACCTCTATCATATCTATCCACCAATTCCTTGATTTCATGGAATCAAAATCATATTCTCTTATTAAAACCAACATTAAATCCTTTGATTAAAATGAAAATCAAAGCTTTGAAAACAGAAAGCGTCACAAATCAAATCTCCATTAAAATCAAATCTTTACTAAGGAATAAAATATCCAGTAACAAAAATAATTAAATAAGAAACAGAAGCAGTCGTCTCTCAATGATCCTTGTTCTCTCTATTTCTTTCGCAGATGAACATTTGATGCACTTGAACAGTTCTTTTTATTTTTGTACACATTGAAAGAGAAATGAAGATGATATTTAAGGGATGAAGAAAGTTTTACATTAGTTTTTTACGTTGGACAAAAAAGGCCATGGTAAATATTGAAATTTTGAATAAACCATTGTTTCATACTACGAAAAAAGATAATGTTTGAAAAGAAAAAATGCAAGTTAATAAGAATAGTGACCTAGTGTTTGGTGTCATTTTAGGGTGAATGTCATAGATGAGAATGATTTTATTTCATCTGGCTAATCTCTCTCTCTCGATCTCTGATCTGCTTCGCATCAGTGGCGGCTAATAACAAATGGATTCCGTGTAAGTTCTACATGGGTGGCCACGAAATCTGCTACAAAGGTGGTAGATGCTCGTTCAGCCATAGTAGGTGCTTTCCTCACCAACCTGAGGACGATCGTGGGTTGGTGGGTGAGAAACTCATTGAAATCTGCTACAAATGCGGTAGATGCCCGTTCAGCCATAGCAGGTGCTTTCCTCACCAACCCGAAGACGATCGTGGGTTGGTAGGTGAGAAACTTCTTGAAATCTGCTACAACGGCGATAGATGCCCGTTCAGCCATACCTGGTGTTTTCCTCACCAACCCGAGAACGATCGTGGGTTGGTGGGTGAGAAGCTCCTTGAATATGTCACGACGACCCATGTAGAACTTACATAGAATAATTTTGTTATTAGTCGCCATTGAT